AGAAGAAGAAGAAGAAGAAGAAGAAGAAGAAGAAGAAGAAGAAGAAGAAGAAGAAGAAGAAGAAGAAGAAGAAGAAGAAGAAGAAGAAGATTTGAATAATAAAAATTTAATATGAAAAAGAAGAAGAAGAAGAATGATGATGATGATGAAAGTAAAAAAGAAGGCTATTATACAGTTGCAGAGCCTGCAGCTCAGTCAGTAAGCCACAGGTAACTGATGATACACGTGATGTGTGCTGACTGTAAAAGAATACGTCTTCCATCTAGGCACACCGCTAGGCCGACGGCATCGGGAAAAACATGGCTCCACACATTCCTTTAAGTTAAACTGTTGTATATATAGTGACCCCTTTACAAAACGAACCTTCTGATTTTTTTAAAGTAAAAAGAAGGCTGACGATATGTGCACTTATATGTCCTAACTGAGTTGCAAATGTCGTAAAACTGTTACCAAAGCAAAACATTACTGACCGATAATACAACAATTGTATGTATCTGCAGCTATGCATGTAATTTTAGTTGGGTAACTGATGATACGGACTGTAAAAGAACTTCACATTCCACATAGTGAATCCTTTAGTGACCCCTTTACAATGGGGACATTGTGAAAGTAAAAAGAAGGTTTATATTAGGCAGCTGCAGATACATATGTGAGGCAGCGTGGTGAAATCAGGCTCTCGTAAATTTTGGGGCATATGGAGTTACTTGTATCATCTTAAAGCTTGTCCATTTGCCTTGCTTTGGACGAAAACAGTATCTGTTTATCTAGGATACAAGTCAAGATATTGGTAATTGAAGGAGGAGGGGTGGGCTCGTTTCAAAGAAAAATTAGCGAGAAAATGGCCGCCAAAGCTGAGTCATTTCCTAAGCTTGAGAGCCCATGGAAACTAAAAATTTACATCTCTTATGCCTTAAGTCAACTGTTTTCAGGACAATCCACACAGAAATGTGTTCTCTAAAGGGCATAAAAGGTGGTGAGCCACAAAACAAAAATTCTATAAAAATTCCCAAACCTGCGGGAAAAAAGCTAGTTTCTTCATTTTGCCTATTTTGACGAGCGCCTGATTTCACCACACTGCCTCACATATGCAGTTATATGTTACATCAGTCAGTAATGTTTTGTTTAAGTACAAGTAAGAGTTTTTAAGGCACTTGCAATATAGTTAGGTTATGTAAGTGCTGAAGATTAGATGTGTTACAAGAGTGTAACAATCACAAAAAAAGAAGGATAGATTTAAAAAAATTAGATCTTCACTAGAAAAGAAGGAGCAAACCACACCTAAGCACCCGCGGGTCGAAAGTGAGCCAAGACATCAAATACGAACAGTCATCACATTCATGCACATGTGGCATTTTGAGAAAATCTGATGATCGGTATGAACTTGAGAGAACTTTAAGTGATGCGTTATACTTGAATATCAGGAGTGTATGCAATTTTCAATGTAAACAATGTGAAAATTGAAATCTTTTGCAGTGTGGCTATGGAATTCTCCCATACCCACCCTATTCACTCTTTAAGTTTTTCCTTTTCGCAAATCTGAAAAAAAAGTTTCAGCACTTCCATACTGATGAAGATAGATGTTATACCCGCAGTGGAGGAATGGTTTGAATTCCATCTGAGGTCATATTATGTTCAAAAACTTTTGAAGGTCAAACAAAGATGGCATAAGTATGTCTATTCCCAGGGTTACAATGTAGAGAAGTAGCATTGGGAATTTTAAATTTCAACTTTCTGGCTTGCTTCTTTCATAGTCAGGATAAAGATTAATTTTAGGCCCCTCAAGGATTGCAATGTAAACGTTGGCTTCCATCTATTCAAATTAATGTTCAACGGGTACTTTGACTATCAACCAAACTTATTGTACGGTTGACTTAAAAAACTACAACTGCAGAACTGTCAGAATAGGTTTGAGAGACTATTATTTCCAAAGTTCTATATATTTATGAAAGACAAGAGGGGCTCATTTCTCATGCTCAAGGTACCCACTTCAAACCTCATCTGTGCCAGCATGTCTAATTTTCTCTTCTATTATAATCTATTTGTGGTGGCCGAATTTTTGCTATTCAAAAGGCTTTTTAATGGCTGCATCGATCAACATTCAGTTTTCGCTAAAAGATTCTTTTAAATATTCTCCAGATCATGACGCCCTTCGTTTTTTAAGTTTTGAGTCAGCTTTGATGCAAAAAGCTAAATTTCTTTATTTCGCCGATCGCTTTTGTAGGCCGACGCTTCTGTCTCTGTCATTTTAGAAAATTCGCCAGGTTTGTTTATTTCAAGTCGTACTTCTGTTCGATACTATCGCGCATTGTCGCAAAATACTGAGCACTATTTTGAGTGAGCGACCCGTATAGATAGATCTAAGTTCAATTTTCCGTTTTTCATTAGTTTCGTTTAGGCCTAGATCTAGATCTAATCTTGGGAAAGTCCGTCTTCTAAGACAGCATTGTAAACAAGTGAGGCTTCCGTTCACTAGCCGTGCGTACCCTTCCTCAATGACTCGATTGTTTTTATTCCTTTCATCGAAAGAGGCCCCAGCTAGTCTTCCTCTACTTCTGTTTCTTTTTTCTCCTCCTCTCCTACCCCCTTCCCCTTCTTTAGATAAAATCCCCTCTAGAGCTCTCTCTCTCTCACTCGATCAGTCTCATTCCTCCACAACCCTGATCTCAAGGTAGATAAGATCAAGCACCTGGTCTTCTCAGATATAATATAGAGACAAAAATCTCAGAAAGCCTTTGGGCACTTTGGGCATGTTAAAGATCCTCTGGTGTGTGAAAACCATAGAAGAATAGAATGTTAGGCCACCATCCAAGGTGAAATTCAAAATATTTCAAGTACCTTACCGATACCATAAAAATATCATCCCTTTTAAATCTGTGAAATTACAAGACATCCCTAACATATTGACAATGTCTCTCTTTTGGAGCATGCAAATCAAGGAAGTCAATTTCTAAATGACAGGAGAAGCAGTTACTTCTTGAATTATAACCTTCTTCCTCTATACTGTCTACTGCCTCAGCAAAGCTGTATCATGATTTATGTTCAACTGTTAAGACACAAAAAGGCCAGGAAGGAGATAGAAAAAAAGCAAAAAGGAATTATTTAGCACAAAATGTGAACTGGCTGCTCATACCCCCCCCCCCCCCCCCCTCAACCCCTTCTCTTCCCAAAAGGGAAAAAAAACCTCACTATCAATGTTATTGGAGGTGGTTGGAAATCAAAAAGCTAGCATGGCCAAACCAGATTATATTTGGGCAACCTAAATCCATCTGGGGGCCAAAAACAAAAGAAATCCTAAAATAATAAATGTAGGGCCTATGCAGCTGCCAAAATCAACAGTAACAAGCACTTGATATATATTCTTCTATTGTAACCAAACAACAACAACAAACAAACAAAAAAACACATAGTTTGCAGAACAAGTAAAAATCAGATGCACTTGCAGATCAGAATCAGAACTAAGACTAAGCATACACACGGGACATACTACTGTGTTCTGTTGTGCAGGAAACCAAAATACACACACACACACACACACACACACACACACACACACACACACACACACACACACATGCGTGCACACACACAACGAGTAAATAAGTAGCAAGCCTTTCATAGCATTTTTGCTTTTATTTAAAGTTCAGAAACTGTAGCAGGTACCATCCACACACACACACTACACAGCTGAAAAGTGAAGGTAATGGTCACTGGATAGAGATACTGTAGAATAATAAAGGTGTTATACCTCGTAAGATTAATCAATGCGTTCTGCTTTGCAGTATAAATCTAGTCACAGTTTGGGAAAAAAAGCCACCAAAATCAAACAAAACAAAACAATAGAAAGCAGGGTGGTGAAGAGCTCACAAACAAGGTCTTAACAGGCTGGTACAGACAGTGGTACTGGTGTGACTCTGACTGACTGGTAGGCGAGAGTGATAGTAATAAAATAAAGACTCTATAAGATTCTGGATCTGCCTATGCATTAACCAACAACAGTAAAAATCAAACTACTTTTTCGACTTACCTGACGAAAACTGTGGAGGCTGTGAGTTTTCTAGTGGTAAGTATTTTTACCTGGTCTGATTTCACTTCCTCTTCGGCCGGCACGTAAAGTAAGAAGTGCTGCTGTTTATAACAGAAGGAGAAAGTGTCTTCACTTCCGGGTTGTGTCTGCAGTTGATATCGATTACAAGAGAAATCATCGGAAAAGATCGTCCCTGCAGACGGAAGATATCTTTGCCAAGACTCTCAAAATTTGTTCAGATATCAGTGCGCTACTATCTGTGTTGATCAGAGAGAACAGAATTACAAATGTAGATGAAAATCATCTTTGAGTATAGACAGCTCTACATTTCAATACCAGTAGAGTATCGATATAATGAAATTGAATTTCCACGCCCACTTCTTTCACTTTTTGGGTTACCATAAAAATATTATAGGCTTGAGTCATGACCAAAAAAGGGGAAGTGTTGAAACTCTTTTGGTGAAGTTTTTTTTTAAGGTGTACGTGCGTGCCTATGTGTGTCTTTGTGTGTGTGTGTGTGTGTGTGTGTGTGTGTGTGTGTGTATGTGTGTGTGTGAGAGAGAGAGAGAGAGAGAG